ACGTGGCAGCATACTTTGCAGCGCTCGCCGCAGAAGAAACCTCGGAGAAAAATGTGCCACGCGGCTAATGAAGAATGTGTGTTCTTCGTCGTTGCTGCGGGAAACTTTGCACCATCCAACCACCCTTCAAAAACCCAACCACAAGGCCACCCTCTGCCAGCCAACCCTTGCCCGACCTTCTGCCTCTCTCGTAATGATGATTTCAAAAGAATTGCAAATGTTTGGCCAACATTTTGCGGATGTCCCGCCAAGGTTTTTCCTCATTTTCCACCCACAGGAGGGAGTGGAAAGGGGTTAACTGCATTATGAGTAGAGCAGGGGAAAATCCGATTGCAGGGCTAAGTGAAAATTCATATGGAAAACATTAGCTGAAATCGAAGTGAGTGAAGTTGGAAAGTGAATAATAATTCCGGGACTATCCTTTGAATATATATGTATATATGTTACTGTATCGGATGAATAAGATTTGCTGCCAACGCATCTAAAAGTGAGTTCTTCGAGGTTCTCTCAGGGGGCATTCTATTTTCTTTCGGAAGGCGAGTCTAATGAATACAAATGAATACATTCAACTTGAACCCTTCAGCGGTCGAGTCGGCCTGCTGCTCGCTTGAGAGTTTCCAGGGTTCTCAGGAAACCCAGGAGCCAAGTCATCGCTGTGGGTATGGAGTGGGAAATACCCTAAAAAAGTAAATATTTAACAATATTTTTGACTTTTCCTTAATAGTATTTACTAGTTTAGTCATGAGTAACTTATTTACCTAATAAAATCGTATTGTTTTTTAATTTTCCCATACCTTTGGCTATCCTTAAACACCCTTTCTGGCATACCCTTGCTACCCTGTACAACAAATTCCAAGCCGCAACACGCTCAATGCCCATTTTAAATGGCTGCAGCCGAAAAGTGAACAGCAATTGGCAGGAGCTACACAGCCAGGAGAAGTGCCTGGCCTCACAAAAAAACAGGATGCAGGAAGGAGGCTGAAGGATGCTGAAAGGGGCCAAGGCAGAAGCAGCGGAAGAAGTGCAGCCAGTGAAAGTAGCAATTGGAGGCAACAATGGGTGGCAAAGAGGAGAAAGAGTGGCAGGAGGATGAGCAGTAGCAAGGATGAGAAGGACTCGGAGCCGGAGGAGCGTGCTTAAAGTTTGTGCACCCATTTCCACTTAGACTAATTAACTGCGCCGTCACTTGGCTGTTGCTGCTCCTGGTCCTGGTCCTGGTCCTCCTGCTGCTGTGCTGGATAGCCTGTCCATCCGTCCAGCCTTCCGTTCGTCCTTTTGGCCTGTCCACCGACTTCATATCGTCGACAGGCCACAGTGTCCCTAGAGGAAAATGTGGCAACAATTCCAGCTTAGCCAGGAGCTCAGTTTCATTTTCATTGACTTATCACGAATATATTCCTTAAAATGGTTTATAAATATTTATAGAATTATCTTTCAATTTGATTCATTTCAAAAATACATTTATTATTTAAAGAATTTATGGTAAATGCTGCTCTTAGGCTCTTTAATATTTTATTTCTTTAAAATAAATCTGAAAATTTCAATGGCAAATTCCCAAATCTCAACTTTAGCTGCAATCCGAAACGGGGACTCTGGCGACTCTCTGGACACTCTGGCGCCCCCCCGTTGATGTTGCGGTCATCCGGTCACTCAGCGGTGCAGCTGCAAGTGAAGCCGGAGACAGTCGAGCAACATCATTAAAACTCTTCAGTGGCTCGACGGGAGGCTGGGGGAGGGGGGTTGAAATGACACCAGAAATGGGGGGCGGCTCGCTTAACTTTTCACTGTTTGCTCCTCTTTGCTGGTCATTTTGGCAGCAGCAGCAATTTGAGTGGCTCCTTCTCTACTGTTTTCCCCTGGTTAGACACCTGACAGGACGATTGGTTTGGTAGTAACTCTGCTGGGTTATATATCCACAGATCCTTGCAGGCGCGCCAAAGTATGCAACAGAAATTTTGTGTAGGCAACCTTCATTTCTGTCCGGGGATTTTCATTGTGTCAGGTTTTCCACCCGTTCGTGTGGTTGTGTCGGTGTCTTGTGCAACCCAAATGAGTAGAATGTGTAAAGGCAACTTGACAATAATGAGTGCAGCAGCAACAGCAGCAACAGCAACAGCAGCAGCAGCAGCAGCATCATTTTGCCAAAGTTTAAGTGCAAATCTCGCCCAGGAAAGGTGGGCTGAGGGCAGAAGATGGCAAGTTGCCGCTCTCGGAAGCAAACAAGTAATGTCAGTCAGTTGTTCAGCCAGGTTTTTGGCACTGAAAAGAATATATTAGAGTATTTGCTAAGCTAGACATAAATGTTAAGTCCATCTAAGGTAAGAAAATGTGGCTTAAAACGGGAATTCAAGCTGTTAAATATTTTTATATTTTATTTTTAAATATAAAAGTTACTTAAAAACCAAGAAAAAATATTTTATTAATAATATCTATTATATTTTATCCTTAAATATTTATTCTAGTGTCTCTTTTGAGAGGTTTTCCTCCCAAATTTCCTTCTCCCGTCAAAAGGCAGTGGAAAATGTACTCTTACCTGACATTTCTCCTCTTTCTCTAACTCTTTTTTAGTGAAAAACTTTTGCTAATATTTAAGTGCAGCCTTTGCTGAGTTTTCTTCTACCTTTTGTTTATTTTGTGGGCTTATCGAGCGAATTGTTGGTGTAAAGGCAGAGCGATCACCGCCAAGGACTAAGCCTTACCACCTGTTGCCTAATGCAGGACTCGGGCTGCATCCCCGCTTTCTCTCAGTTTCTCAGCCTGGATGTTTCTTCATCGGCTTTTGCCACACAAGAGCCGGAGAGCTCACAAAAAATGCAAAGCCAAAGTGACTGCGGTTCCCCTACCTCTCACTTTCCTACTCTTAGGATGTACTTTCATCCTTTTTGACCTGGTGAAAATGGGTGCCAGGTGGAGGGGTAACGTTACAAAATGCATGTGCCAACTGAGTGCATGAGGAGCTCAGTTTTCCCGTTGATACTCTAAGGGAGTCAGGGTTAAAAAAAAGGTTCAAAAACTAAAACTAAGATCTTGAAAAAAGCCTTATAATATCAGTTATTTATTTTGTATAAATATATTTTTATAAAATATTTAAATTTATGTTTAGTATTTAGAAAGAGTAATCCCTTTTTACCTTTGAAAATTCGTTTTTCACAGTTTCCTTTCCTGTTTTTTGGTTATTGTTACTTTTGCCTGCTGACTTCTCGACTTCTTGACGCGCCTATTGACAGTTAGACTAGTGACAAAAGCTACAAAAAAAATAGCAACAAAAATAACAACAAAAAATAGCAACAAAAAAAAACAACATAAAACAGGAATATCAGCGGGTAACGAAATGAGCTCACAAAGTTTTCCTTTGCTTTTTTCGACTGGCTTTTCCTTCATTTTGTTTCAAGTCTTGTTTTTTTGTGTTTTTTGACAGGTGTTTTGCGTGCCATTTGTTACCGACACAAACACAAGGCACACACACACATACACTGAGGTATATGTGTCACTTGGGAGAGAAAAAAAGGGATCTGATAGAGGGGAAAACAATACAAAAAAAGACAGAAATTCGGGCACGGATTTCCACCAAAATATGTTCAATACTCTTGACTTCGTGAGTTACTAATCAATAATATCTAGTTTCTTAGTGGATTTGGGATGGAAAAACCCTATGCTATATTGCATTACATAATTTTTTAGGACATTTTTTGTTAGTATTAACACTTTTGGCAGTGGAGAGAGATATTGTTAGATTTCCTTTTTTTAAGTGTGAAAACTATATTCTACCTTTGGTATTACTTCAAACTGTTTTATTTTATTAATATTCTCTTTTGAAAACAAAGCCATTTTTATGTAGAATTTCCCTCTGTAGTATAAATTCCGCGCCTTTCTTGATTTTCCCCCGCGAAAACCTTTTAATGTGTGCAGAAAACAGGCCTCCTGCGCATTGGATTGATGTTTGATTATGGCCAAACCCCAAATACCCTTCCTCTATGTCCTTTTCAGCTCCTGCTCCCTGTCCTCCTCCGCTCCTTCTGCTGCTTTTTCCTTCTTTTTCATTGTGCAAATGCACTTAAAGCGCAAATGGAAATCGACAAAGCAAAAAGCAGAGAAACGACAGTGGAAAACGGGAGAACGAGGGGACTGGCCGCATAAAATTTTAGTACTGTGTACGTAATTGAAATGGCATTTACCATTAGCCAAGCGAAGGGCAACGGGAGTGCCAATGCTAAGGGGGGGAAACGGGGGTCAGGGGGCGTTGCCAAGGCGTGGCAGCGGACAGGATACACGGACACATGGACACATGGACTCAGGGACACACGGAAAGCAGAAACCGAGTCGACAAAACTTAATAAAAATCAAAGAACGAGGTGTGGCCCTCTGGCTCTGGGCAGAGGGGACGTGTGCTCGGCGGAAAATGGAAAATGGAAATGGTTACTTGAGCCAAACCAAACCGAGGCGAAGCAAAGCGAACGGAAGGCTACAAAAAATGAAATCGTAGCGATAGAAATTAAAAGCCAAAGCTGGCCACAAAAACACATCCAAAGAGGCGGTCAGGCTGACGAGCGAGCGACATTGATTGAAAGCTTTCACTTGCTTGCGCTTTTAAAAGCGAAACCACCGCCATGTTCCTCCAGATCTCCCCCAGCCACATACGTATCCCTCTCTCCGGATTTCAGCGAACACGCCTTGGGCTATTTGCATATTACTATGCCAGATCCAAGCCCCTCTTTTGTTCATAAAAATCAAATGAATTAGGAGCAGCCAAGGGATGGGGGATGTGGAAACACAGGGCAGTCAATTAAAATTGAAATAACTATTCACCATTTGAATATTCAAAATATTCAGAGACCAGAGGGATGTTGATGGCGATGTGGAGATGTTTGTAAGCAATTAACTCGACAAGGACATGGCGTATACGTAATGTTGTGCAAAGCAATTAGGAGATTTGAATCAATCACTTTGATTACTATTTACTTGAGTACATCTACAAAGGAAGTATATTATTATTACTATTATTCCAAGAATTCAACTATAAATTTATTTAAAAAATAAATAAATCGTATTCGAATTGTATTTGAGAACTGCTTCAATCAAACTTGCAAAACTTGCAAAGATCTATTAAAAATGTGTATCGGGAAACGCTTTCCTAGCCTGAATCTTAGGTTTACGACCCTCAGGAGTTGCCTTCTTGCGCTTCTTCCCCTTGGGCTTCTCGACCACCTCCACCTCGTTGGTTAAGTCAATCAAAGCCAGGCGTTCGTAGAAGAAGCTCTTCAGCATCAGGCCCGCCGTGTGGACCTCAGTGCCCTTCAGGTTGAACAGCAGGCAATTCTCAAAGACAAACTTGAAGTCTTCGATGGCCTCGTCCGCCTGGTAGTAGTAGTTGAAGGCCAGCCGGTGCTTGATGGTGTTCAAGTCCATTGGCCGCTTGATCACCGTGTGATAGTGGGGCACCCCCAAGGTTATCGAGTTAACGGGGTGGTGGAAATAGAAAGCCCAGGGCTTTCTCCAAATGGCAGACAGCAGGGGCTTGAAGGACTCCAGGACATTGGTCTTGCGACCAGGACGTTTTGGGTGCGGATAAACCGGTGGCTGAACGATTCCATTCACCGGATGCATTAACTCCCTAACTTGAGGTCTTGGCTTATCAGAAGAAGGCATTTTTGGAATTTAATTGAGCTATTAGTACAACGAATTAATAAAGAATAAATTTAACAAAAAAAAAAGGACACTTCACTCTCACTTTTTTTAATTTTTAAGAATTCACAGCACACAACCTTTCAGCTCGGAGTTGGAAGTAAACTAATCTTTCTGATTTTCAAAGCTCAAAAAGGTGATATTTGATCTGACGTATCGTATTGAAGCTGTGGTCAAACGTATTCTTGATTGATAGAAATTACTGAATATAAGCATTGGTTGTTTAGAAAGCGAAAGAAGCAAGCTTTGCTTTAAGTTGATTTGAAATTTTATAGATTTTCGTAGGAAGAAAGAAACCTTTATCGAGGATCAAGGATCAGGAAGGACTCTACTCTATTAATTATACCCTTAGGTCTTGGTTCCTGTAAACACGGAAATAATATAGGATAGGATTACATTTACAAAACCCCTCTCTCTCATTATGATGTGCCCACACACATTCATATCACTCTCTCCCTTCATATAATTCAGTTTTGAGACCATATCCTTGCTGGCCAACAAATTTGCATATGTCTCCGAGGAAGGAAGCCTTTTTTCGTGGTATATATATTATGATAGTGATAGATATAATCAAGTTGGGCAAACATCAACAAAATATTAAGTTACCCGCGGGCGCACACGGTCGGTCGGGTCTCATGTTGCCCGATGACTCGATGTCCTGGTATTCGTCTGGCGGTGCTCCACAACAACAAATTACAGCGGCTACAACAACAACAACACCAGCAATAACTACTACTCATGTCCTGGCAAACAACAACACCAGCAACAAAAACAATCAGCTAAAATGGCAAAAAGGCAAAGACCCGCGACAGCGTGACTAAAATGCGCACGTCAATCCTTTTTCCTCCCCAGCAACCCCCCCTTCAACCATTATCCTGGCAATGTTTTTGTTTTGTTGTTGTTGTTGCTATTGTTGTTGCTGTTGATTTGGGCGCGCCAGAAGTCGGCCATGTTTACGTGCTTTTTAAATAGACAAGCGACGACGACGACAGCAAACAAATAGCTGCAAAACAAAAAAATGGGAAAAGAAAGTTGGAACAACCCAACGAAGCTGGGCACAAAGCAAAGAAAACACTGAAAACAAATAGTGAAACAAAATAGGGATAAATTTAAATACCAAAAGAATCGAAAAACTCAATACTCTGCCTTAGTTTTCCCCTCTAAACTTGCTTAAAAATTAGAATAAAAAGTAAAAAGCATTTAAATCTTATATTTGTAAATTAAATTTTAATTCTAACTTCAAGCTTTAAAATATTTTATAAATTAATTAACAGATACCTTGTTTACCTAAAAGGGTATTTAAAATCAAAAAGAAATGGCAAACAATATTCTAGCGCAACTAAAGTGTCGCCATTAATTTCCTGTAGAGAAAAAAAGCAAACAAAATAGAAGAAACTAAAACTCAGCATCGAAAATGGAATTGAAAAGTCTCGAAAGGAGAGACCCCGTCGACAATTAGCACGCATTGGCCATAACCATAAACGGCAAACAACAATTAGCAGCAACTATTTTTGCTTATTGGCCCTAAACAATGGCCCAAAGGCGGTGGACACAAGGGGGCGAAGGGGTGTCCCGGGGGGAGTGGCAATGATCCAGACGGGCCAGCAGACAGAAAGTTGTCAACGGCAACAGAAGTGATAAGAAAATTTCATTTGTAATTAATACTAAAAGGCGCGACGGCGGCGGCAACAGAGAGAGAAAATTCGGGCAGGGCGGAAAATTCGAAGAGCAGCCACAAAAGCGACAACCACAAACCGAAAAGGGGGGTGGGGGTGGGGGTGTGGTGACAGACGGCTGGCTGTGCTGCCATGGCATTGGGTGCACTGTAAAAACGTTTCTTAAATATTTTAAAATATTTAAAAATAGATAAAAATATTTTTAAAAAATTAAAAAATATTCAAAAAATATTTAAAAATATTTAAAAATATTTAAAAATATTTAAAAATATTTAAAAATATTTAAAAATATTTAAAAAATTAAAAAATATTTAAAAATATTTAAAAATATTTAAAAATATATTTAAAAATATACAAAAAATATTTAAAATTATTTTAAAATATTTAAAAATATTTAACAATATATAAAAAATATTTAAAAATATTTAAAAATATTTAACAATATTTAAAAATATGTAAAAATACTTAAAAATATTGTAAAAATGTATTTTTATATTTAATGGTTTTTTATATTTGTTTATTTATATTTTTATTTTTTATAAATACCTTTTAATCTGATAGATATTTAAATTTAAAATATTTTATTACCTTGCCACTGAAAATCATTTAGAATACTTAAAAAATTCAATTCCATTACTTAAAAAAATCTATAAAACATTTTAAGGTGAGAATTTTAGTCTTAAATAACCTTAAAAATATAGTAAAATTATATAGAAATAATATATGAAAAAAATACTTTTAGTAATATTAAAAAAAATATTTTTTAATTATTTTCCGTGCATTCTTCGGACTGGTGACTTTTTGCCTTGGTCTTTCGCTTTGTCGCTCTCCGTTTCTTTGTGCAGCCATAAAAATTTGTTCAACATTTTGTTGCCTTTTATGATTGCGAAGAAGAGACGGCGGTGGCCAGGGGAGAAGCCAACAAAGGAGGGGCGTGGCAGGTAGAGGGAGGGGCGTGCAGTCAGGTGCAAATTTATAAATAGAATTCAATGAACAAACAAAAAGCGACGGGGGAAATTGGGAAAGCCAGCGAATTGAATAGAATTTATTTGAGATGTTTTTACAACAAAAAAAAGAAAGAATGTTATAGAAAAGTGTGGAAATTTCAGTAAAATAAAAGCACAAAAAGTGGATAGGAAAACTTCACATTAAGTAAAAAAATTTAAACAGGAAATATAATTTCTTTATTAAATAAGAAATTAAGTTCACTTAAATTCAAATTGGAAGAAAGTAAATCAGATTTTGGTAAGCATTTAAAAGCATTTTAAATTAAACTCCAAGAAGCCGTGTCGACGGACCCCTGGGAAACATAAATCGCAGTGCGCAGTATTCAACCGCAGCAACAATTTGTCGACAGCGGGTTAACACCCACCCCTGCCAACCCTCCCACTTGGCTGGCAAAGGGTTAAGAAGGCCCCACCAGCGCCATGACGCTGAGCATTTAGAAATCCATTAATTTCAATCATTGCCCGTGACTTTGCAATATTATTATTATTATTGTTATTACTCTCGTTGATGTTGGCTCCTGTCGTTGGCTTTTACTTTTCGCCCGCTTTTCCGCTTTTCCCGCGAAACGTCACAAAACTTCAAGGTTTCTTTTTGTATTTCAAAGGGGAAAAACAGCGTAAATGTAGAGTACTTTCGGTTGTTTTAACTAAGAGTTAAGCTTGGCTAAAAAGTTCTTTTTTAAGTTTTGATATTTAAGAGACCAGAGACTGCCAAACCCATCTCTGAAAATGCTTTTCCGCTCAATCTAGGCATTGCTTTTGCTTTATTCTACAAAGAAAGCCAGCTGAAATTCGAATAGAAATTTATTTCGTAAGCTAAATATATCATATTCGAATGGTAAACTTGACAAGATCAGTTACAGTTTTAGGCCAGGAAAGACTTCTTAGCGTTAGGCTTCTTGCGCTTTTTCTCCTTGGGCATCTTGGCCATCTCCACCTCGTTGGTCAAATCGATCAGTGCCAAATGTTGGTTAGCCTGTGATCCGCCTTGTTGGCCTTGGTGCCCTTCCGATGGAACCGCAGGCAATTCTTGTAGATCAGCTTGAAGTCCTTGATGGCCTCGTCCGCCTCGTAGTAGAAATTGCAGTCCTTGATTGTGCTCAAGTCCATTTGCCGCCTGATCACCTTGTAATAGTTGGGCAATTTCACGACCAGCGGGTTTACGGGGTGGCGGAAATAGTAGGCCCAGGGTTCCTTCCAAATGGCAGACAGCACGAGCTTGAGGGACTCCAGGACGTTGGTCCTGCGACCTCGACGAGAAACCGTTGGCTGGACGTTTCCATTCACCGATTGCGGGGCCATTTCTCTTAATTAAATTGAACTATTAGCACAACAAAATAATAAATATAAATTTAATTTTTGTTTCATATTTTTCATTTACAACAAGAAATTTTGAAGAAATTTTAAAAAAAGTATAGCCGGACTTGGCTAGATCGACTCTGCTGTTGATGGTAGTCAAGTACAATATCTAGTATGCTTTCACTGTTTTCCAATGTTCTGACTAATAGTAGGGGTATAAAAACAAGGTGATTGAAGCTCCCAAACTTCCCCAAATATTTAATATACTTTAAAATATTTTCATATTTTTGAAACGGAAAGAAAATGTTGCTATATAGTATTTATTTTTTATATTTTTATCAAGCTTAATTTAATTGTACTCATAAAATCTTGGCTTGACTTGTGTTGGAAACAATTTCGTATGGAACCTACGACTTTATGCCAATTTCTTACGCAGAAAAACCCCCCTCACCTTGCTGATTACTTACTAAATATACCTCTTGCTGCATAATAACACCCGCCAGTAAGTTTCACAAGAATATCTAGAGTGGAACTCGAGTTCGTTGGGGCTCTGCTGCCTCCTTTGCCGGAAACTACAGTGCATTTCGCACTGCACTTTTGCGGGCAGCTCCAAGGACGAGGGGTGGGGGTGGGGGCGGTGTCTCGCAACGCGTTTTAATGACTCAACATTTTCTTGACTTTGATTCGAGTCGCGGAAGGAAAGAAAAAGTGCAGGTTGCCGGGCTCGTACCAAAAGGGTTGTCGCTCTGGCCAAAAGGCATTGGCCCGCTTCTTTTTTTTTGTCGGCTGTCAAAATAACAAAGTGCTTCAGCTGCATTCCGCCTGGCCAGGATAAAAAAAAAAAAAAAAAAAAAAGCGAGCAAAAAATAATGGTGGCCCAAAGGCAAAAAGTGTCGATGAATGTTAAAGTTAACAAGTGACGGAAGTGAATTTACGGGGCGAGCAAAAAGAGCAAAGCAGCCGCAAAACAAAAAGCAGCCAACGAGCTGAAAAGGCCAACAAAAAAGTCGAAAAACCAGCTCGAACACGAAAAAATTAAAAGGCAAGTAAGCAAAAATCATTTTCACAAAGTGCAGGACACGAAGGTGCCCCCCTAGAAAATATTTAAGGAAAATGGGAAAACTGGGAATACTCGAGGAGGGAGTTTTTAGGAAGTGTTTTATTGATAATTTTAGTGTAAAAAAATGATTTATAATTACATATAATTGTATTATATATTCAATTAATTTAATATTTTATATTAGGGATTTTTTAAAAAGGGTTTTTTCATTAAGAAAAATATTATAACTCGTCAAATTTAAGGACAGAAAGCACAGCTGAAAGGCTCTAAAGAAGATGAGTGCTTTTCTGATAATATCGGTTATTACTGGCCCACTCATACATATCCTTACATATGACACATATACCCCATATATACCCTATATATACTCTTTATATATAGTATTCCATACTCACCATATATTGACCCAATCACATCTTTGTCATGTTCGCGGCTTATTCATTAACTCGGACTTTTCTCATGCATTTTGCTCTACCTTCTTCTTGCAGTTTTGCTCGCCGTCAGCTGGGAGGATTGGTGGACATACGATGGCATCTCGGGTAAGCACAACTCCTACTCCTTCTTCCCGATTTTCCGCCACAATTTAAGTTTCATAAATACCAACAACAAAGTAAATTTTAATCAAAGCTCAACAATAACCATGGACGGAAAGCGGAAAGTAAAATTTCAGTCAACGAGCAGCACGCGCCGCTAAAGCAACAAAGTTGTGGGTGAAAATGCAGGCGGTGGAAAATGGTGGCTTTTCCACCTGCCCTTTTCAAGGGGTACGAAAGAGGGGGGGTTGTGCGGCAATTGTTGTTGCTGCTGTAAAACGATTTTCCCAGCGACTGAAGCTGCACGCGTGAAATGCATGGAAAAGGACCAAAAGGATATATAGAGATGGTAGAGCAAAGGCAGCTGCAGTTCAAGAAAAACTACTACATTTATTAAAAAGATTTTAATAAAGAATTTATTTTAGTGTAGGAAATTTTACAAAATTAGTTTCTTGAATATTTATGAAGTATTAAAAATTGTACATATTTATAGGTTTCACAAGGGTCTTTTACTTGCTACTTGAAAAAGTTACTTTCCTTTATTCATTACATTTTTTCCAGTGTGGAAAATTGTCTAAGAGAAAGAGAAGAAAAGCGGGAACGAAGCCGATTTGCAGCTGTCAAATGGAAAGGCAGACAAAGTATTCCCGAAGAGAGAGAGAGAGAGAGAGAGACTGAGAAATGGAGAACTTTCCTTTTTTCGCCATTGTCTGGCGCTGAAACGTGATAAGCAGAGGCCCAGACGGAGAAAGAGAGCTGAAGAGGGTGTCTTGGGGGGAGAGAGAATCCAAAAGCGAGACAGTGAGACATTGAGAGAGAGAGGGAGTCCCGAAATGCCTCCATGTGTCACCAGGGGCAGAGAAATCGGGGCCAAAGGTCCGTGGAGATTATGTCCAGACAGGACAGCAGACAGCCGATAAGCGTTGCTCTTCTCCCAGTCTCCCTCTCCCATCTCTCCTTTCTCCCATCTCGCCATCTCAATTCTCCGCTTCCTTCTGTGGAAGCATCTTTCTTAATCTTATTAGAGAGACAACGGCGACGCCATTTGCACAAGACAAATGCATAAATAAGTTCAAGTGCTTTGAATTTTGAATTGGATTTGGCGACCAGGGAAAAGGTGAGGTGATGGCAAAGTGCAAGCACAAAATCAGGGGAAAATAAAATGGGAGAGGAATCGAGAGGAAGCCAGGATAAACTGTTATAGGGAAAATTTGAAAACTTGACTGGAAAAAAGTCTTCAATGAAAGTAAGGCTTTTCCCAGAAGAACTTAAAGAAATATATTATTTTCCACAACAAAACAAATTAAATAAAATTCTAGAACTTATATTAAACAATCAGTAAAAGAAATTAATAACTTATTTTTGTTTAGGTATTTATAAAGAATTATCTCCTTTCGAGTTTCAATCAAACTTGCGGTGCTTGGGAAGATCAATTGAAGGCTTTATGCCAGGCAGGGGTTTCTTAGCCAGAGTCTGAGGCTTGCTACCTTCAGGTGGTTCCTTCTTGCGCTTAGTCTTAGTCTTGGGCTTCTCAACCACTTCCACTTCGTTGGTCAAATCGATCTGGGCCAGGCGTTCGTTAAAAAAGCTCCTCAGCATCAGGCCCGCCGTGTGAACCACATTGCCCTTCGGGTTGAACAGCAGGCAATTCTCGTAGATCCGCTTAAAGTCCCCGATGGCCTCGTCCGCCTGGTAGTAGTAATTACAGTTCAGCCGCATCTTGATAGTGCTCAAATCCATGGGCCGCCTGATTAGCTTGTGATAGGTGGGCACACCCAAGGTTATCGCGTTTACGGGATGGTGGAAATGGAAAGCCCAGGGCTGCTTCCATATGTCAGCTAGCAGGGTCTTAAGGGAGTCCAGGATATTGGTCCTACGACCCGGACGATTTGGGTTTGGATGAACCGGTGGCTGGACAATACCATTCACCGGCAGCAGGAATGGCTCTACGCGAGCCATTTTCGTTTATTGAACTAGCAGGATCACAAATTAAATTAAATAAAAAGTAATTTACTAAATAAGAAGCACTTAATTCTCACTTTTTTTAGTTTTCAACAATTCACAGCACACAACCTTTTTAGCTCGTAGTTCGAGGTAAACTAACTTTCTGGTTTCTGGAAATACAAAAGGTGCTATTTGACTTGACAGATCGCATTGAAGGTGTGGTCAAAGGTATCCTAGATTGATTTCTTTTTTGGATTTCTTTTTGAATTAAAATCTACAGAAGTAAAAATAAGAAATCTAGTCTTTCCCCTTGATATTTTCTTCCTGTGCAGGGACTTTGAGAATGGGGTATCCTTGTAACACGTGTTTGTCAACAAATTGCAACCGAAATCCGAGGCGAACTTTGTGTCTCTTTTGGCATAAATAAATTTGCATAAGCATTGCATGCATGTCGGCAGGAGTACACAGAACTCGCCGACTGACTCCGACTCCGGATCCCTCGTCAGGGGAGTGCCACTGAGTGGGGTTTTCGAAGGAGGGAGTGGCTGCCAGACTAAGCCTCAGCTGCAACTGCAATGGCAACGGCAACGTGCCACTTGTTTAACGTGATTTGCACTCGCAACGAGCCGAATAAAGGCGGCCAAAATGGAATCAAACGGAGCGTGCTGCATACCTCCGGTGGCCGCCAAAAAGGGGGGAATCCCCTCCAGAAAGAGCACACGAAAAACCAGCCAGCCAGCCAGCCAGCCAGCCAGCCGGGGCACTAATGTTGTTAATGGCTGCTAAAATCGTTTGCCAATTGCCTCATTGACTCGACTCGACTTGACTCCCGAAACCAGACCGCAATTTAATAGACTCGAGACTTGCAACATCCTCCTCCGCGGCATTATCTGAAGACCTGCCTTCACGCTCCTAGCGATGAGCACGTGACACGACTACCTAGCTCTGGTGATATTTTGCCAAGAAAGAGTAATGGGATTTTAATATAAATTAAATCTGAAAGGTTGTAAGCTTAAAAACTACCGTATAAACCCTACTTAGAGCATCTTTTAGTCTGCTGTTAATTACCTAAACCATTCACGCCCTCAGCTACTACCTCACACCCACTTTTCCTCTATTTGTTTGATACGCTTTTCTCTTGGCTTTTATTTTTGGCTAATGCAATGGCGTCGTTGAGGTCAACAATCGCTTAAACACGAGTACGTGGCATATCTATGATTGAAGCTCCTGATTGTGGCCTCACAGCGAACGTGTTGATTTCCAGTCATCCATTCCCCCCCTCGCCTGGCCACTCCCCTTAGCTCGTGGTACGTGTCGTATACGCAATGCGACTGCAGGCGAAGCATTTTTTATGGCAAACGGCGGTAAGGGATGGATATAGCTGGGCCACAAATGGGATTACAAGGAGCAGAGCAAAAAGGAGGCTTCCAAAAATAGGTTGATTCTGGAAAAATCCTGCAAAGCAGATAATCAAAGAGCCTTTTTTAAGAATTAAACAAAAAAAAGTAGAGCAAGTTGAGGGGTGTTCTAAAAACAAAACACAAATCACCAAAGACGATACTCTTTCAATTGCTGAAACTACAACTGCCATAGATTATGGCAACACAAAAGCTGGCCAAAAGTAGAGAGTGACTGCTACTTGCCCCGGGAAGTGGCAATAAAAAAGCCAGCCTATTGTTTTTCGGGCCAGCTCAGTTTGATTTCATATTGCCATAAATTAAGCTGCCGTCTGGCCAGATAAAGTTGAACCAAGTCGGGCCAGGGATAGAGATATATACAGAGAGATAGAGAGACGGAGAAACCAGAGTGAGAGGAGTGGAAAAATAAACCAGCAATTTTACGAGGGCAACCGCACAAAATTAAAGCAGTCAGGGGGGGGAGCCACGGAGAAGAGATGGCTTAGTTGTGTGGCCAGAATCAAACAGACGCAAAAACCAAAAAACTAAACCGTTGCAGGCCAACACCTATGCGGATGCAGACAAATATTGTAATGGCCTTTGGCCCTTGCTACCTCTGCTCCTCAGCTCCTCAGCTCCAGCCCTTAGTTCTGGCTGCCATTATGCAATTTGTGGCAAGTTTTTGCAGTAGCTTCTGCTGCCCCATCCGCAATTGCGGTCAGCTTGGAAACTTTGGAAACAGTTTGAGGCGAGCAGGGTTCATAAATCTCCATGCCACCCCGTGGCAAGACGAGGCTTTAATAAAAAATATATATATATATGTATTTGTATTTGTATATAACTCCATCTCTATCGTTTTTAGGTCCCGCCTTCTGGGGGCTCATCAATCCGGAGTGGTCGCTGTGCAACAAGGGTCGTCGCCAGTCGCCGGTGAATCTGGAGCCCCAGCGTCTGCTCTTTGATCCCAACTTGAGGCCCATGCACATTGACAAGCACAGGGTGGGTATTGGTAGATAATTTAATAATTTTTAAATATTTTGGAATCCTTGAAATCCTTGCAGATATCTGGTTTGATTACCAATACCGGCCACAGTGTCATCTTTACTGCCGGCAATGACACGGTGGCCAACTATGATGGCATGCAGACGCCAGTGAATATATCCGGCGGACCCCTCTCCTATCGCTATCGCTTCCACGAGATCCACATGCACTATGGCCTGAATGATCAGTTTGGATCGGAGCACAGTGTCGAGGGCTATACGTTTCCGGCGGAGGTGAGTCCAAATAATGTTTTTTAAATAAAAGGACCTCCTGGCACACTGGTGTCACTCACAATTTCCGTCCAAGGGTGGAGGCCTAAATTTAGCATTGGGACACTTTGACACTTGCTCGGGGGGCCTCCGAGGATTCTATTTCTGCCCTGCCTGTCAACAGATTTCCCTCTTTAACAATTCAATTGTGTGTGGAGGAGTGGGGTGGGGTGTGTTTTCAACTTTTCTTGCGTCATTTCATTGCCATCCTGGGCACTCTCGGCATTGTGTCTGTAAACTTGTTAGCCCCCCGCCCCGCTCAAATATTTGCACAGATAAACGAGCGGAAGTGTATTTGATCAGCATTTAATGCAGCAAATGTCGATTTGTCGCTGGAGAGCAAAAAAAAAAAAAAAAAAGCATAAGGAGTGGGGAAATAAAATAAATAACAAAGTCAAAAAAGTCAAGAGCAAGGCGCTGAGTCGTCCTTTTGTCTGGGAGTTCTCGAGTCCTCGACGTTATCATCAACGCTGTGCCGTCGTCGTCGTTGTTGTTGTTGCCAGGTTCAACATGTTGGAAATTCTCCCCACTTGTCTGGGGCTTTGATTTGTCCCACCCCCACATCATTCACACTTTTTCGAGTCTGGGAAAATTCAAAGGCAGCTCAGACAAGGCTAGAAAGGTGTGCTATTATTTTAAATATGATTTAGTTGTAGAATATTTTCTAGTTTCTAGTAAGAAAATATATCTTTATCTTTATATTTTTATAATTTTATTCAAGTATGAATGATTTTGTAGAGCGTACAACCCTCATTTTCACACAAAAGCTGCTGCTGCTGCTGCTGCTGCTGCTGCTGCTGATGCCTGATGATGATGATTTTGTATTGTTTTATTTGTACATTGTTTTCGGGGGTAGGACACATATTTATGTGTCATATGGCAGGCGTTGTTGCGACTCGCTCAGACACCTTGTCTGTTCTCCCTCCCTTGCCCCTCAAGAGTTTTTCCTGGAAGGCACACATGCGTGCCACCACCCCCCTCCTTGTTTGTTGTTTGTCAAATATGATTTAACCTCTCCGGGTGCCGAGTGTTTTGTTCATTTTGATGTCAAGTTCACACACACACTGGCTTGCGAGCTTTATTAAAAATGTGTAAATACCCGTTTGCCTTTGAACAAAGGATTCTACCCTCCGGTTGCAAGATTTATTGCCAGTAAGTAACTAAAGAATGTGCCAGGAATTCCTTATCTTTGACCAGCCATTTGGCCATTAATTGAGACACAAGCTGTTGCGGCCCAAATTAGTTAATGTCCAGTGTTAATGAGCTCATAACTTTTTGTTGGCCGGCAGATTGGCCAAAATTATGGCCAGGAAAAGTGGGTTTTTTGAACAAATTGGCTTGGAAGAAGAATGGATAAACAGGGAAATATGAAAAATGAAACAAACTAAGTTGATTTATAAATTAAAAAATTGTTAAAGTTTATTAACACTTTTGTGTTTATTGGATCAAGTCCTTGAAGCTATTAAATATATAAGAATAGGTAATTTCTAAGGCTCTTTATGCTCGTATCCTTTTTCTTTCATTTCTCAAAGAAAGCTTCAAATTCCCCAAATCAAGATGGCTCACTGGCACTTTTTTTAAGAACCTTTCACCAGGCAAAGAGTCCTCTGCTCCCAAGGGTTAATCCTGTCGTGCCTGTGTCTGGTCCTTGGCCACTTGACTCAACTCGACTCGACTCGAGTTGAGCTGCACTGAGACGGGTTGAGTTTCCCCGTTTTGGGCTGAGTGATGTGCGACACAGTTTTCATTTTCATTCTCAGTTCTCAGTTCCCATTTCCATTTTCATTTCCATTTTCGTTTCGGGTCGGGTCATGCGGCGCTTTTGTCTGCTTTTCCATCCGATTTTCCTCTCGCAGTCTTCACGTCTCGCGGCAGGCAATCAAAAAGTGAGCCGCAGCTGCCACAACAAACTGCAACAGCAGACTGCAGACGACAAACAAATAACGTTATAAATCTGTTGCATGTCAGCAGTTGTGTACCTCCTCCCCCCCCCCGTCGACCTCTGACCCTCAATGTCAGCGCAAATTAATTAGAACAGTACCAAAGTACATGCCCTGTCTTTCGCCTAAATTACTTTGACTTTGGCAGTCTCCAATTTCCCGACTCAGCTCTGATTTTCCTCACTTGTGCCAAACAATCGAGTGATTAAAACGCACTCTAACAGTCTGGAGTCTGGCACTCCTATTGCTGGGATTTGAGCCCAAAGTGACAAACAATTGCCAAGCTGAAATCGTATCCGAGAAGGAGGAAAACTATTTTTAAGCGACTGGAAAAAAATATGTAAATAAAGACACGATGAGGAGAATTCTGGAAAAATTGGAATAAAAAAGAAATTAAATTTCAATTAAGCAGGCCTGGGAAAATATTAAGGTACTCTTTATTTAGTGAGGTTAAGAATATAACAAAAATTAAAAATTAAATTAAATTTATTGGGGCTTTTAACCAGCAGTTTAAAGACCAACTAATTTTTATACCCTTGCAGGGTATTATAATTTCAGTCAGAAGTTTGCAACGCAGTGAAGGAGGCGTTTCCGACCCTATAAAGTATATATATTCTTGATCAACATCAATAGCCGAGTCGATCTAGCCATGTCCGTCTGTCCGTCTGTCTGTCTGTCCGTCTGTCTGTCTGTCCGTCTGTCCGTCTGTCCGTCTGTCTGTCTGTCTGTTTCTACGCAAACTAGTCCCTCAGTTTTAAAGCTATCTGAATGAAACTTTGCATATAGTCTTCTATATGCTCTCACTGCTATATATGTCGGAACGGGACGACTATATCATATAGCTGCCATACAAATGTTCGATATATTTGTAGAAAAAAAATTAGAACTTTGATGTTTTTCAACATTTTTGCACCATTTTTTAGATATGGCCATTCTATATTATTTTAGAATTTTGGTATAAATTTTATCAAAATCGGACGACTATATGATATAGCTGCCATAGGAACGGTCGAGAAATAAATAGGAAAAAAAATTATAGTTTCGTTGTTTTTCAACGTATGTTTATCTACTCTGAGATATAAGCTTTTTTTATTATTCTTGAATTATGGTATAAATTTCATAAAAATCGGACAACTATATCATATAGCTGCCATATAAACCGATCGGTAGATGTGGAGAAAATGTAAAACTGGGAATGTAAAACTGTAACTGTCAAACTTTAAACATAATAAGTATAGGAAAAATTTAATGAAACTCTGTTTTGTGAGTGTTTTCAGCATTTAAATCTATAATATAAACATCGAAACCAATCTGCAAGGGTATACAAACTTCGGCGTGCCGAAGTTAGCTTCCTTTCTTGTATAATTAGTACTAGTTTTGATATTTTAGAATTAAAAAATATGGCCTATTTCTTTACCGTTTTTTCTACACTTTTAAATAAATTAAAAAAAGCTTTAGCTTATGTTTCATATTCTAAATAAATTTTATAATTAGTAACGTACATGTTTTGGTATTTTAAAATTAAAATATGGCATATTTGTTTTAATTTTTAATATACTTTGAAGTAATAAAAAAAGCTTTAGCTTATGTATCAACTTTTTTTCTAATAAAAATCACTTACTTCCTTAATTTCTTCATTTCTAAATAATATTTACTTTTACCTAATTTAAACTCTAGCTTAAATTAGTATAAAAACAAACAAATAAAAGAAGAAATTCAACAAAATTTTACAAAATTAAACAAAATTCAACATAATTTCATAAAATTCCACAAAATTCAACAAAAATTCCACAAAATTCCTCTTCCAATTGATTTTTTTTAGCCAAATTCCTGCTGAAACCTATTCGCCGGAAGTCAACTGTAAGGCGTAACTACACACAGGCCGTAACGAAAGCCGCCTTAATAGGCCGCGCCTCACAATTTGATCTGCCTTAATGAATTCGTAATTGGCAATTTTAATTAATCCCCATGAAATCCGCACAAGATTGCAGTCGTGTCTTGGATTTCGGCAGCCGTTGTCATTGGACGCCACTGCGACACACCTGCGGGGTGTTAGGGGGGGGAGAGTCGGTTTCCGTGGGGGGTTTCTCCTCTCCAGATTATTTTGCCCCGCCAAATGCGTTATTTCTATTTGCAATGCACACTTGCCTGATTTTGATTTGTTTTGGTTTGCGGTAATTTAGCACTTGTCTTGTGGCTAAAATTTAATCACCATCGGGCGGTTGCCAGGGGGTTGGGGGGCTGTGATTTAGCGATGAGTTCGTGACGGCAACTATCGTAAAAGGACCTTGAGAGGGGGAGAGGGTAAATAGCTGCCTGAGAGTCACGTGCCAGGGTATGCACTGAGCGAAAAAGAAACTGATTTGGGAAATAATTTAAAAAAATATAAAATATATAAAATATATAAAATATATAAAATATATAAAATATATAAAATATTTAAAATATTCCTAAAAACCTAGATAGATTTTGTATCTTAAAGATAAAAGCTTAAAATTAATAATTTGTTTTTCATACAATAAAGTCCCTTTAACAATGTTTTTTAAAGGAATGATAATAATTATAAATTTAATATAATTATAAATAAATAAAAAGTAAACTAAAACTTAGAAAACCCCAAAAATCATAGATTTAGCCACTCTTTTTCCAAGTGTACCCCGCATAATGGACTCACCCACTTAACCCCCTTCGTTATGGTCAAATTGGGGGGCTTTTTGAACCCCCATCCCCCCCCTCGCTGTGGTCGGGCAACCACGGGCAACACAACCCAAACGACCAACAACCGACGATGGCTTAACCATTAATTTACGCGCTAACCATGAAGTACTTAAATATACAAATGTATCTGTGCACTGCACTCAAACACAAACACAGACACGGAGACAGAGACAGGACGAACAGGGACAGGGATAAGGACAGGGAGAGGGAGAGGGACAGGGTTGAGTGACTGAGCACGAACGAAAGCCAAAATATTTGCTGCTAATGAGGTCGTGCTGTAATTTCAGCAACCCCATCCGCACCCCT